CCTCAGGACCCACTCCAAAAAGGGGAGGGACAGAGATCAGCAAATACAATGTGATAATGCCCAACCAAATTTGTTTACAGAAGCTTAAAAGCTGCACAGCACAACTCAGTAATGCACTGGAAGTGTCAGAAAAAGTCTTTGGGAACACAGCAGATCATAAGCTCATCGGATCTCTATGGATAATTCCCATGCTTGCATCACCTACCAACAAAAACAGTAACTACCTTGTAGGCATAAACCTTTTGTACATTCTAATTTATCAAAATTGATAAAACATAAATTTAGAAGTCTTCAGTTATGAAATAAAAGTATTCCAACTAATTGACCCATCAAATACATTGATTTAAAAATATAAGAATTACAGTGTACTGGACAGAACTCTTTAGGACAGACCATTAACCACAGAGCACACACACACACACTTTATCTTAACTTTTATAAACTGAAAATAGTCAAGGGCGTGTGGTTTAAAAAGTGGTGAAGGACCCATAGTAACCTCCTCAGTTTTTCTGGGGAAAGAAAACAATAATTCATCATATTCTAATCCACATAAAAGCACCCAAGCAAGCCATAAGTCAAAGTCGGAATATTATCTAAAACAAAGACATTTAGGACCTGTTTATTAAATTACTTAGTTAGTTTTATTTCTTAATGATGAGTATTATGCTGCTTCATAGATTACCATGAACTTCCAAGACTGAGAGGACTGTCTAAAAATTTTCATTATTAAATTGAGGTTATAGTATAAATGTTAAACTGAAACTTTAACATATTCCTGAACCCACAGAATGAAACAGACTTCAAGTATTCTTCTATGTATCTAAAATAAAAGGATCCTGCCAGATCCACTCTACTACTTTACTGCAAGTGATTGATGAGAATCATAAAATGAAAGTAACACACAAAATAATTAACATTTCAGAAAATGCAAATTATAATTATTATATTCTTACACAGAAAAAAAATTAGAATATCTTCTAATGAGGTATGTATTTTAATTTAAATATAGGAAATTTTACACTTCTGATTAGTAGGCACTTGCTCTGTCAGGACTATTCATTTTTTACTCAATCAGTTCCAGAGGGAAGACTCCAAATGATGGCATCCATTACAATTAAACAGCCAGTGAACATAAAGCTCACAACTTGTTTTCATATCACAATGACAGCATGTGGTAATGAACTTTCTGTTAAGAACTGTTAAGACCTGGAAAGGGAAGGAAATATATACTCCCAAATACTAATTACTCAGATGCTTAATACTCAACCTCTTCAAAAACCTGGAGACCAGCCAAAACGTGTCATAAATGGTTTCACTTTTTCCCAGAACCCTATTTATCAGCATTCTTAATTTCTATTTGTGCAGACGCCATGTTTAGTATTTAGCAATGAAATAGATATAACAGCAATGCTAATTAGATCATCCATAAACATTTGAGATTTTTTTTTTATAGCCCAGAATTCTCTATTAAATTCAGCTAAGGAATGTCAACCACATCTGCTACAGCCACCACAGAAGGGAAGGTGGTTCTGCTCACAGGGGACAAAGGTGGTTGTGTTCCCAAGGGATGATGCAGACCCTCGACGTGCCAGTGGCAACGTTTGTCCTGCCCGAAATGTGAGTGCTCAGCACCACAGCTGAGGAACCTGTCAGTGTGCACCTGCCCAAGCAGATATCCAATGGCTCACCTGCACCACGAAAAGTGGAGTCACTTGATGTGAGATGAGGATTCAAGGTGTGGACCAGCCGCAGGGCACAGGGAACAGAGCGTGACCAGGCTGGATGCTGAGCTCCCCTGGGTGGGATCTGTGTGCCAGGGCACAGCTACAACACCAGGCACCTCATTCCTGCCTTTGTCTCCCTCCTCAAACCTCACCTTAGAACTTTCACAGCTTTTTGATGCAGAGATATGTTCCAGTTTGACAAGCTCACTTACAAAGAAGCAGGATTTCTCACTGCTGCACTGCAATGACTTAAAACAATGAACCAATTCAGAAAAAAACCCTGCAGCTTAAATACTAGAAACAAAAAGCAGCAAGAAAACCACATCTCTCCTTCCTCCACTGGGTGTTGTTCTGTGCTACCAAAAAACCACGGAAATATTACAGAAAACAATTCATGCTACTGAAATAAATTAAAAGCCAGTGACCTCATGGAGGAAAAAGAGTTTTACCTCAAACATACACATGTAAAACTAACACCCAAAAACTCACCCATACGTATAAATAAAATAACAATGCTTCCCTGTAAAAACTGTAACTAAATCATCACCTACAACTGATCTGAGATTTTTTTTTATAGTTAACACATATTTGAAAATTGCTAATTCCACTTGACACTAGTGATAAATACCAGTGAAAGTCTAGAATTTCAACTAATAGAGCAAATAACAAACAAACAAACAAAAGAGTAAATTTCAGAAATTTTACTAAATTATTCTGGCACGGCTCCCATCTTACAAATTCTGTAATGCTAAGATTGTTACAAAATCCAAAATAAAAATTGAGAACATACTGTGAATGTATTTAAAGTAAGTTATAATTAAGGGGTTTTTTATTTTCTAGGATTATTTTCAAGACTTCACTGTATCACCTGATGCTATATGAGCAAAAATAGATAAGTTAACATTTGGAATATATTTGAGTTTTACTTACATAAATGCATTTTTTAAAAAAAGAACGAGTTAAAACTCATACATTTACTTTGAACTTTAATGAGCAGAACAGATATAATTTGGACCATTAAAGTTATTCAAACTCAATAAAAACTAAAACTTGTCCTTGCTGAACGGTGAAACGAGATTTGCACGGCCTGTGTACACCTTGTTTCCCACAATCAAATTGTCACAGCACAAAAACATTCTCCTGCTTGGGGAGGTTTTGATACCCATTTCCCTGGTGAAAGTGTGCTAAAGGATGTGAAAGAGTTATTGACAATTCATACAGTATCCCATATTCCATTAGGTAGCACAAGCAGAGAACATATCTTAACTCTGAAGGGAGATGAAGCAACAATGTTTTAAATTACTATTGACTCCACTAAATTTCCTGCTAATGTCAGAAGACTGTAGTCTGGCAGGTTCATAAGAGACTCAAGATGATACAGGAATCCAATTATGCCAAGTCTATTTAGTTGTCCTGTTTGCTAAGCCAAAGGTTAACGAGAACTGCACTGAAAAAACCTCCTGTGGTATTACAAAGTATTTCTTATGCTGCATAACATGCAAATGAAAAAGTATTTTAATCAAGTCTTTCTTTAACTCCTTAATTGCAATGGGGTACCCTACAAAACCGCAAATTAAAAACTCATGATGGAAAAAGTGATCTTAAAAATTTGCCACTGAACTCAAGAGATCATCATTAATTACTAAAGTAATCATTACCGAATGGTTCTAATTTGGAAAAAAAAAAAGTTCAGATCACAGGAGCATAGATAGTCATTGCTATCATTAAATCTTTATAAATAGTAAGCTAGGGCCTCTAATTTTAGACAGAAATTAATTGTATTTTTGTTGGCAACACACTCACATCTGTTTACACAGCTGACAAGTTCCAGCTCCACCAGACTCCAGCAGTGAGCTTTGAGGACTTGTCTGCTTCAGAGCAGATGACTCAACATTCACCAATTTCATTAAAGATGAAAAGGGGAAAAATTCACCTGCAACAATGTCACTTGCAAAAAAAAAAAAGACTTAAAGCAGATTCATGAGTTTTACATATGTGAGGTATCCTATTTAAAAGAAAAGGAGGGGAAAAATGCGTAAAAACCGAACAGCTGTAGGAAAACAGATTAAAAGTGTTGAGTTTCCAATTCTTTTTTTGGGCTAATGTAAACTAATAAAATGTTAAAATGGATCCACATTTCAAAGACTGTAATTACCACATGACACCATCCTGTTATTTCAGATCTTACATCTGCTGGCTCAGATATGCCCTCGAATACATGGACTGGGATTTACCCACCTTTCCCAAACCCACTGTTTCTGCAAACACCACCACAGACATATTTTGCAAGTACACTGGAAATTCCGACAACTTTTACCTTTTGTTTTTGTTTTTTTTTGATTGGCATAAATCCTTTACTCAGAGCAAAAAAAGGAGCAGTCATATTCAAACAGCAATTCTCCCTTTACAAGAAGAGAGCAGAAATGGACAGGAAAGTAATGCATGGCATTGGCAATGAGTAAGAAAGCAAACTCCAAATCCATTTTCACTTTGTAGAACATTCAGGTTCAACCGAATACTTATTTTTTCCACATTTTTTTCAGGTCACAAAACCTACATACAACATAACTACACAATTATTTTACTCTTTTAGGTAATTTTCAGTGAATTGGAGTTGTTTTTCTGAAGAAAGGCAGACCTCACTAGCTGGCACTGGGAAAAACTAGCAGAATAAAATTACCTGAGCAAAATTGAAAGACATCCTGCAAAACACACTGTAAAGAAAACCATGTAAGGAAGCAGGTCTAATAACTAATGGGATAATGCAGGTAAGTCCCACAATTTCATGAATTTGTGGGCAATTCTGAGTCAGTGGATTCTGCCACCAGTGGTGACCCCTGACTGATTTCAGCAGGAGCAACTCCTGCTCTGAAGCCAAGTAGAGGCTTGAGCATGAACTGGGTGAGCTAATATACTATGAAAAATACCTAGAGGTGCACTCAGAGCATACATAAAAATCAGGGTTTTTTTTCCTGAAGTTCAATCACTCAATAGACTTCAACTTCCAAAATGCTGCACAGCTTTGCTTCAGTCTTGAATGTCTCCTTTTTGTCTGAAACATGCACTGAATCTGACACACAGCAATTATTTATTTCCCTGAGCTCCAGTCACTTAAATCTTGAGCATTTGTATCTTCCACGACAAAACTCTGAATGTGTGCAAGGTTAAGGTACTGCATGTGAGACAGTAAATGCCACTGAGTGACTCCAATATCAAAAATCCATGTCAAACCAGCCTTTTCTAGGAAGGAATGAGATGAGAAGCAAAGGAACTCACCGAGTCATCTGTGGCAGAAGAAGGCCAACCTTCCCACAGCTGGTGACGGACAGGGATACTGGTCAGGTCATACACATTCCGCTTCACCTGGAAAAAAAATTAAAATAAAAATAAATCAGAACTTGCTCTAAAAAAGGCAGCCAAACAGAATCGTTTTCATCACAGCCCCAAACTTTTTATTTTTTCTGGTTACTGTAAAACCAGTTCCTTCAACACTTCCTAGATTCAGATGTGGTCAGCAGGTTCACACACCCAGAAGTATTTGAAGAAACTGTGTTGAAGAAAAAAGAATTAAGATCTAAAAATTACCATTCAAAATGATTGCTCATTACTTGCAAAAAAACGTGCAAAAAAAAATTCCTAACACAAAATTTCCAAGCAAAAAGTATTACAAAGTAATGAAAAAAAATTAAGGGAAGCAGAAGGCAATAACAAAAATTCTGCTGCACGGTTTGCTGGTTCATTTTCACCTGAAAATATTGGGCTAAAATCTTAGCAGATAAGAAATACAATGAGTTTTGCATACGTTTCTTAAATGGAGTCCAAAAATAAAGATTAGTATATTAAACCTGAAAATATTAATTAATAAGGACATTTTCAATGAAGACAACACATTTCAAATATTTATTAACAAAATGCTAAGTAACAAATTTTTACATCAACTCTTTTCTCATGCTATTAAATCAGAAGCTGCTACTGTTTATCATCTCATATGATGGTTAACAGAAGGAAGGCAGGGAGGGGAAAAAAGAAGAAACAGTTGAAAATTTTGAATAAAGAAAGAATACCACAAAATACAAGAGTTATAAAACTCTTTCCATGAAAACATTACCACAGATAGAAAACCAGGCAAGTTTTATCAGAGATTTTGTGATAAACAATTACTTAAATCACAGAAATAAGGATTTTGATACTTAAGATAGAGAGTGATATCTTAAATTCTGAATAGTGTCTTACATCTGAACATAAAGACTGCACAAACAATGTAAATACTGCCCAGCAGGACCATAACTGTGAAAATAAAATATTCCAGTGAGTCATGGTGGCTTTTCATAGGAATCACAGAATGGTCTGGGTTGGAAGGAACCTTAAATATCCTCTCATTCCAACCCCCAGCCCTGGGCAGAGACACCTTCCACTACACACCAGGCTGCTCAGAGCCCCATCCAACCTGCTTTATTTTTATGTTTGCCTTTCATAAAACTGCTACATATGGGAACACAAGGTCCTCCCACATTTGCAAAGGTCTAGGCAGATCCCAACCACCTCTACAGCATCCAGAAAAACATTCTCAAAGAGATAAAAATAAGATTGGACACTTCTAAATAATATTTTGTATGACCATTCCTTAGGCAAAATATCTGAGCAAGTCACAAGTTCTGCATCCTGGTCCTGGCTCTGAGAGGACTGCACATTCCAACACTGACAAACACAAGCACCCATTAAACCAAAAGATATTAAGGCAGATGGATAATATTTGACTTAAAGCAAATGACAAGGCTACTCCAAAAACTGTCCTTTGATGCCTTCTTTAGATTTTCTCTTGCTCACTTGTCAACAGGAAAGAAACAGCAATTAATTGTGTTCTAACTTCTGCTATGAGAATTACTAAAAGTTCCATGAGTGAAAAAACATTGAATTTATTATATTGTAGCTGTCAGCAGGAGAAGATCTTTGAGCTAGCACCTTGCCTGCAGTCTAGTGCAGCTACCCTGAGTTAACAACATTTTCTGAACAGAAAAATAGTTTGCAATAATCAGAAAGAAAACTGGAATTTGCCAAAATGGAAAATGCTAACATAATCCATTTAAAGGTTTCATATTCTAGAAATGAATGAAAGATGATTCTACTCTACCATTCTAGGAAGATACTACAATAAGAGAGGCATTTTATATCATTTGATCCTACCTATTAATCAGTACTTGACATATCTTCAGCACTGAAGCACAGTTGAGGTTTTACTCCATGGTAAAGTAATATAAACATATGGAAAGTACACATGTTCCCTCTAAAAATTATCATTTATTTTTAGTACAGGATCTATATGAAACATCTGGCAGTAGATTTTCATCTAAAAATATTTTTGCATAATGAAATAGCACCAAAATTCTTTTCCTGGATCATCTTTCGAGACAAATACTCCATGGACCCTTTCTTTTAAATTCTCCACAACAATAAATGGATGAAGAATACATCTGCAGACATTAAGCAGTGAAACAATTTTCTAATCACTGTAAAGATCCTAAGGAGAGTGAGGGACAAGGCAAGGATTTCCAAACATAGTCTTCCTCACCAATGTTGATTTGGGCCATATTCTTCAAAAGATTCTTAATGGCACAGCCACAAGGTTGTCAACAAATACCCAGACCTGAGAAAATCCAGGGCATATTGAGATCCAACACAAAGTACAGTGCTCTTACTGGATTTTCAGATCTTCTATTCAATTATGGTTGCTCTTTCTCATTATTTTTCAAACTAGGAGTTATTTCATGCTAATAAAATGCCCTTAGGAAAAACTGTGAAGCACTGTCTCCCATTTCTGGACAGATTTAATACACAGGCTGTGCAGATAATAGTTCCAATACTATCAGTTTAAATCTTTCTGAATATAAATATTCTGCACAGCTGAGTGGGAAAGAAGAACTTCAACTTATTCTCCAAGAGTAAGACATGATACTTCCAACTCTAGAGTCTGTATCTCACTAAAGAACCAAAGTGAGACCATGTGGGTTTCTTACCTGGACATTTCAGTATCATAACAAGCTGAGCTTGGATTTTCAGCTCAGCTTTGCATTCACTGTATGTTTTAGAATCATTAAGATATCTCTCCATTTTTTCCTAAAACTGGTAAATTACAGGTACACGATAACCTTTATGTTAATATTGGTTTTGTTCAGGAGGTTTTGCAGGGAGACTGACCTGGGAACTATGCTTCAATTAAAAAAAAATTACAACAATATTTTAACTCAAAAAATTGAAACAAGAACACCAAGTCTTTAAGACACAGAATACTGAAGTATCTACTAGCAATTCAAGTGGATTTCATTTCAGTGCTTCCTCATAGTGTCCTTGATGGCTTTGTAAAGAAATATTGCTTCATACTGACCCCACAACAACCCAAAATGTAACAGTCCTGACCTTAACAATGATCACGAGAACACAGTTGTTGGAGGTTTAGTTTTCTTGCCTTAAAAATCAGGATAAACTGTCTCTGTGAAATATTTATTTTCCAGCTACACACCAGAAATAATACTATTTTCACAGTATAAAACTCTAAAGTGAGCTATTTTTAAATAACAAGTGAAACTTATTTACAGAAACATGGGATCAATAGGACTACATAATATTGTTTTCAAAAAGCCTTCAGAAGTAAAAATAAATAACTCGGAAGTCACATTCCTCAAATTCCCTTTTAATTCCAAAGTACAACAGAAAGGCATTATGAAAAAAACAGTATTTCCCTTCTTTCATTAACTCATCTGTAACTGCACTGAATTCAATAACATTCCTCTGCTATTCTAAGCTTGAAAGGCATGCTTGGGGTAAAGTGTTATGTTGGTATAAAGCACAATGCCAGACTGATGTGCTGGACAAAAGTGATCAAAGTTGAAGTAATTTTAGCCAACGCACAAGTATTCTGCTGCATTATTCTACCACAATGACATCTGTTGAGCAACTCGTCGCAGAATAAACCAGTTGTTACAGGCAGGCCTGGCTGGGTAGGGGACCATGTAAGACTGATTAGAGTAATGTTTGATTAAACAAACTGCTTGAGTTAAGATCATAACTGGATTTGGAATTCATGCCAAAGCAGTGATCTTTCAAACAACAAGCCACAATCAATTATTTAAGATAAAATAAGCTTGCTTTTAAATAATGATTTGATTTTTGGTTTCTTTGATAATTAGAACACTATTACGAAAGCAGACTGTAAAATGTTTTAGAGATTAGAATATTTACCAATTGAGTACAGAAAACCCCCTTTCTTCATTAACTGACTTAATTTCAGTTTAAAGCAAAAAAATCCATGAAGAGGAAAAGGTTCTAAAGATTCATGTAAAGCAGAACTGTGAACTGCTCCTTCACAGGGCCAATAAAAATCTACAGCTACACTCTTCATGCAACTGGAAAAAGTTAGCAGAGTAAATGGACAAAGTCTGTGTTAAGGATTTTACTTATAAATTCACTTGGCATTCATTGAGAGGAGAACCAAAATCTTTATTGTGTAAAGCATACTCTAAATTGCAGTGCCATCCACTGAGCTACATTTATTGGCAAACTTTTTGGTCCTGCACTTTTGATCAGTTTGAAATACGAATTGGTGGCATTGTCTTTGTGCAGCCCAGAATGTCTTTTCATAATGCTCAGATGCCATGGTGACTGGCACATTACTATGGCAGCCTCCCTTCAGATTATCATCTCCAGAATATAAGAGATCATTTAAAAACAAATTAAAGGCACATCTATTTGGTTTCACTACTCAGCTGTAAACAGTATCAATACAACCATTTAAACAGAAAAAAGAAAAAAATAGCCCATATATTTTAGATGCAGTCTTGGAAAATGATGTATAATTCCTGCATAATGCTCGACCTTGCAGTTATACATTGATGCTGGAAAACCATGTGAAGTTTTACCTTCAACTCATTTTCACTGGTTTTAGAAGGGAGTTATAATATTAAACAACTTCTAATATTTTAAGAAAGCCCATGTCAAAGTAGCCAACACACTCAGGAAACTTCCCAGATAGAGGCAGTGTTACCTTCCTATCTTTCACAGGTTTCTTTAAACAGATAAACACGTTGCTTTGAAAGCAAGGTTAAACGCAAAAGATGCACTTGGTTTGCAGATATGAAGCAAATCCAACATTCAAAGTCCTGCCACATTCATATTAGTAAGAATAAAGTGAAGGAAAATGTACCACAGGGCAAAAAGTCTGTACCAGGTACTGTGATGACAACAACCTTCTGGTGATTGCACTCAGCAGGAATAAGCAGCTATTTTCTCATCTCTGAATTAGAAAAATCTGAAACCTACTCTCAAAAAACAAAGATTTAACACTTACTAAATTATTTTAAAAATTAAAT